TGAAAAAAAAAAAAAAAAAAAAAAAAAAAGGCTCTGACTTGGCAGGTTGGGGCTTGTCACAGCATGGGCCTCTTGCTCATTATTTTCCCAGTGTGGACTTTCCCAAAGGAAATGGGAAAAGCAGCCTGCGGTTCTGCCCCCTCCCCTTCCCCGGCGCTCTTCTGGGGAGACAATGACCCTTTTACACATTCCCAATTACAAGTGCTCCTTGTGACCTTGCCAATATGTTGTCATGGCTGCTTGGCGCAGAAGCAGCTCGGCGAGCTCATTCATGCTCCCTCGTACGGGAACAGTCGGAGGCTCTGAATTGTCGCCATCCCCATTGTACGGCTGGGTTCACACATCGTCCCCGGCGGAGGAGCGCGGCGGAGCTGGCCCTGCCTGTCCCTGGGGAAGTGCCTTCCAGAAGATGCCAGCCAGTCACTTTGTGCCTGTTTTCTCACTGGCTGTAAATTCTTCCTTTTCAAGGCTCTGACCTTTCCTCGACTCTCCATTTCCTCCTCCTCTTTTGTTCCGCAGGCTCACGCCGGCTGCGGCGGCGGTACAAAGCGAACCCAAATTCCTGCGAACCAGTTCCACGCCGGGGTTTTCCCTGGAGCCGGGCCAGGCTGGGGAGCGCAGAGGAGGCAGCAAAGCCCATGGCAAACCTGGGATTGCCTCTTTCTTTCGCTAAGCTGGTACTTTGGGGTTCGTGTGACCCCCTCTGATCAAATTCTCGGGGCTGACAGCTGCAGATGGATCGATTTTCGGCTGGAGAACAAGCAGCCTGTCTGTGCGTGGCTGTCAGTTTTCACAGCTGTATATCTCACCTCTTTGTCAGGCTCTTTTCTCCTCTCCTCTCTCCCTCAGCCCACCCTGTGCTATCTTTTGATAAGCTATTCTCTCCGAGGATGACTCAGATGACCTCTGCCTCCCATCCTCCCGATTCACTGCCATGGTAACAATTGCTCAAGCTTGTCCCCAGTCATAAACCCCATCAGAGCTTTGTTATCTACATAGAAACCCTCCCGGGAGACATGAATTCCCCCAGTGTTCTTTCCAGATCACCTGTAACAGAGCTTTTCTCATTCACATCCTCTTTCTCTTTTGGAAATGTGTCACTTCGCACCGGCTTTGAATCTCTGGCTGCCTACAGGGGGATGTGGGCTGGCTGCTGCCGGAGGGATGCGTTCCCGGAAAACTGGAATGAGCTGGGTGGCGTCAGCGTAGAGGGAGAGGGATTTGGCCTTTCTCTTACATTTGGCCATTCTCTTACATCTCAGAGCCTTGGGATGGGGAAAGAGCTGCCCGGAGGGTTGGGAAGCTGTGTGGAGAGTGCGGGGTTGGAGCGAGGAGGGAGGCAGGAGGTCAGGACAGAGCGGTGGTGGCAGAGCTGTGCCCGGGGCTGGGCTGGCGTCGGGAGCTGTATCGCAGTGGCAGGGTGAGATGGGCAGAGGGAGTGAGGTTCCGTGTGAATAAGCTGGATACTTCTCCTGCATTTCCATGAGAATTAGAAAATCCCTGATATCTTTGGACATAAGAGAGAACTAAAAATACAACTTGCTTTTAGGAGAGGATGTGAGTGCCTGCTTCGTGTACGCGCCCAGAGCAGCGGGTATGTGCTGAGCAGACGGTGCGGAGCTGGAGAGGCAGGGTTTCAGAAGCTCTTTCCTTCTTGTTTGACCTGGCAGGTCATGAAGAACGAAGAGCTCAGCCGAGAGCTGCTCAACCTGGCCAGCGCCAGGAGCACCCTTCCCCGCACAGACAGCAACCTCCACCGCTCGCCCGCCGCGGCCGAGGGATCCGCTGCTGAGCTGGAAAGAGCGCGAGTGATGGTGCGACAGCTCTCAGCTGGGAAGGTGGAGGTAAGGACCTCTCTGCCCCGTCCTCAGCTCCTTGGAGAACAAGGATCTAACAGGCACCTTCTTCTGTCTCCTACTAAAACCAGACAGAAGATGTAGTTGCCTCTGAACGTGAGCAGCAAAAGCTGGAGAGAAACGTGAGTGTGTGGGGGTCTGCTGCTGGATCCTGGGAACACAGAGGGGGAATTTATTCCAACTGGCTGGCATCTCCGGGGGCTAACTTGGATTTTGTGGATGAGCTGATGCCTTGATCTTTTTTAAGTTGTTTTTTCCACGCTTTGCATTGAAGTAACTCCTGCTCTCGTGGAGGCAAAAGCTGAGAGAGGGCAGCTGTGGTTCCCTCCGTCGGTGCTCCTGGGTGAACAGAGGCAGGATTTCAGAAGTCAACAAGTGCCGAGGACACTTGCTTATTTTCTCCTCCCTGTTACTTGAGAAAGACGGGGATGATAAAGCCCCCAAAACCAAGACTACCGAGATGCTCCCTGCCTCCTTCCCGTCTGCAGCCCGCATGATACCAGCTTGGGCTCCACCACCAGCTCCTGCTGGGATGTGACTCTCGGAGCAAGGCTGTCCCTTGGGGGAACACCATGTGTGGACCCCCATGTGCCCCGTCTCCAGAGCACACACTGCTTCTGGTGTGCTGCAGGGCACTGGTTGCTCCCAGTTAAACCTGTCCTTTCCCCAGTATGTCACTGGTCAGCAGGACTCGTGCTCAGCTGGAGGCTCTCCTCACTTCTTCCCCATTCACGAATCCCTCTGCTTAGCTCTGTCTCATCTTCTTCTTCATTTGTCCCTCAGTTGCTTGGAAACCAGGATCACATAAAAGTGGAGCTTGAAAATCTGAAGAAAACCTACAACTTGCAGCAGCAGAAGCTGGAAGAGAAAGTGTGAGTGTCTGAGGGCACGTCCTTCTGTTTTATCTGAGCATTTGTGGCACTTGGTGCGGCTGAATTTGATCCTTGGGCACAGGAGAGGAGGCAGCCTGCCTTCGGGGGGGGGACATGGTGGGAAATGACGATTCACCCTTGGAACAAGTGAGGCCTGGAAGCAAAACCTGATGTTTTCAAGGCTCTTAAGAGGATCAGCTGTCTGCTTCAAAGTTCAGTACCTAACTGGCCTATGCAGCTCTGAAAATCCACCTTCTGCGACACACATGGCACATGTGTGACAGCCCAGAGATTAATCCAGCCCTGGCCCTTACCCCACAGCAGTTCTCCCGTCCCAGCTGGGATGGGGTCAGTGTCCCGGCAAAGGCAGGGATGCTGGAGATGTAAGGATGCTCCAGCAGGGATGCTGGAGAACCAGACCCTCAGACTGGGGAGGATGTTCACTTTTGGTTGCCAGAGCTTTGTGGCCACTGGTTGGCACCCATCTGGTGGGGGCTGGCAGCTGCTGCCAAGAGATTTTTGTCACCCCAGAGTGATTCCTTCTCGAAGCTGGCTGTACTGGACCTACAGAGGAGTTTAGAGGTTTAAAATAAACACACCTTCTTTCTGTCTGCCCAGGATCGCCATGGAGAAGGAGCTGCAGGAGACGAAGGGAGCGATCGGGGAGACCCAGCACAAGCTGGTGGAGCAGTCAGCGGTGAGGACCGGCTCCCTTCCCCCCCGGCACCCGAGCGCTGGGTCTGCCCCTGCTCCTCTGCTCCTCCCGGGTGCCCTGCGCTCCTCCTGGAGCTAGCAGGGGTGGAGGTCTTGCACTGAGGTGCTCCAACATCTCCCTCTCCAGGGGTTTGTCACACCAAAGTGCTCCTCCCCGTGCAGTTTCCTTCTCCAGGGCTGCGATGCACGTGGTGGAAGGTGGGATGCACGTGGTGGAAGGTGCTGCTTGCCAGAGGTGGTGGAAGGAATTTTGTTCACTGATATTTAGAAAGAGTTGGTGAAATCACCGGGGTGGGGATTGCAAATGACAGAAGGCAGCAGGGGAACAGAGACTATAAACATTTCCAGAGGGTTCATGTGAACACCCAGGACCTCCCCAGCTCCAGTGGAGCTCAGGATCTGGAAATTATGTCCCCCAGCTAACTTCTTGCTGCCCCTTGCTTGGCTGGAGGCTGAGGGCAGTGTTTGCTGTGCCCAGGTGCTGCTCTCCTCCCAGAGCCAGCTCCAGGAGGTGGAGGCAGAAAACTCCCGGCTGCAGCTCCAGCTGAAGGCACTGAACGAGGAATATCGCTCCCGGCTCGCGCAGTACATCAAGGATGTGGCGGTGGGTACCCCCGGCCCTGGGGGCTCTCCTGGCCTGGGGAGGGCTCTCTGTGCTGGCTGCCAGCTGCTGTTTCCTCTCCTTGCTGGGCCAGGGATGTTGGCAGTGGGGCTTGCAGCTGGGAGGGGGCTCTGTGCCCTTGGCTTGGCCTGGGGGAGGAGATGCCAGCCCCACTCCTTGCCCAGATTTCCCGTACGGCCACACAAAATGGTCCGTGAGTTTCTTCTGGGGCTTTTCTTGGTCAGATTACTTGGACTGAAAGATCCTTGTATTTACCATGGCTGCCTTCCAGTTGGCTTCTAGTCTCCATTGCCTGACAATGTCCCGCGGCAGGACAGGCGACACCGCTTCTGGCTTTGTCGCCTCCTCCATGGTGACTGCTGCTGTCCCCGCAGGGAGCAATGCCAGCGTCCCCGGGCAGCTGCAGAGCCCTGTAACACCAGAGCCTGGGACCTGTGCTGGGAACCAGCACCTTGATGTGGAGTAGGATCCCCAGAGCATGGTGGGGACCCAGCACAAGGCAGGTGGTTCAGGCAGGTCCAGGACTGGGAAGAAATCTCTTTCTAGGTAGCAGTAAGCAGGTTTTGGCAAGAGTTTCTATGCTGGGAGGAGGCTGGTACCAAAGAACACGATGTGGTGATGGATCAGGAGGCTAAGCAAAGCAATTTTTGCTGTTAAGAATAGTTTAATTTCTAACGGAGTGATGTTGAAGCATATCTTGGCTAGCAGAGAGAGCAGGGCATGATGGAAAGAAGAGAATCATAGAACAGGATCATAGAATACAGGACTAGAGGTGGTAGCTCCCAACGCTGACTTGCGTTCCCGTAGATGGGTCACTGATCAGCACAGATGCCTTCTTTGTCTTGAGGGGCCCTGATGGAAGTTCATTAGCCTTTCCTGCTCTTAGAAAATGGAAGATATGCCCTATTCTCTGTGCTGTCAGCACAAATATGCCCGGACCTTCCCTGTGGGAAATGCCTTACATGCCTTAGAGAACGCCTTCATTACCTGGGTTCCTTTCTCTGTGTGTTTGAAGGACTACATGGACAGCAAATCCGTCGGCGTAGCGGGACCTGGCAAAGCCCCAGCTGACCCCGTTGCCATGAAGTGCTTTGTGGACGGCATGCTGAAGGATATCAGGGCTTCCTACAAGTCTCGGGAAGAGCAGCTTGCCGCAGCGGCGCGTGGCTACAAGAAACGCATGAAGAACCTGGTCAAGAAGCACGAGAACCTGCTGATTGCTTACGGGTAGGGCTCAGCTGGGGCTGGGCTGCCTCTGGCTCTTCGGCTTATTGCTGAGGACCAACTGGAAGTGTCCCATAGCTCCCAGTCCACAGGCTCGGAGGGAGGCAAAGGGGGCTCCCAGGTGGAGCGGAGGATCTGGAGTGCACAGTTATCTCCCTGCTCTCGACAAGCCGGGAACAAGGAGTCTCCACCTCCACACTGGGGTGCTCTGGACACCCTGGAGCTGCTTTGCACAAATGTTTCTCCTGTGTAATATGTAGGGTGAGAGCTGGATTCCATGTTGGATGGTGTGGAAATGCAGAGGTACCACAAAAATAACTCCAGCCTCCCAGCCTGTCCCTGCAGTGCTCTCGGCTTGCTCAGCAGCTTGGGCTGTGGGAAGCAGCAGAAATTCTTGTGGCATAAAAGCCACAAATAGCTCTAGGATGAGCTCCTTTCAGAAACACTCCCAGGAATATTGCGTGTACTGCTGGGCTCTCCCACGTATCCTTCGCAGGTGGACTGGCTCTTGGTGGCCAGAAGCCAGCAGGTCCCAAGTGAATGGTACCTCCAGCAGCAGCAGCAAAGCTGGGTGTTGTTACCAAACCAAAGCTGCCAGGGACTAACCCCTCTGGCACGTTACAGGCTCCAGCGAGAGCGGATCCGGTCCCTGGGCAGCAACACTACGGACTGCGGCCCTGCTGAGCTCCACTTCTCCATCACAGACCCAGAGCTGCTGACAAACACAACCCGAGAGCTGAACCGGCTGCGGGAGGATAAAGCAAAGCTTGGGTGTTGTTACCAAACCAAAGCTGCCAGGGACTAACCCCTCTGGCACGTTACAGGCTCCAGCGAGAGCGGATCCGGTCCCTGGGCAGCAACACTACGGACTGCGGCCCTGCTGAGCTCCACTTCTCCATCACAGACCCAGAGCTGCTGACAAACACAACCCGAGAGCTGAACCGGCTGCGGGAGGATAAAGCAAAGCTGGAGATGCAGTTACAGGATCTGCGGAAGGTGGTGGCTGTGCTGCCGGCTTTCTGGGGGGCGAAAGAGGGGGGCGGTGGGGAGGGTCTCACAAGCGATAGATTCAGCTCCTTCCTTAGGCATTCCCTGGGGGTTTGCTGCATCCGTGGCACAGGCAGGGGTAGTGCTGGCTCGCTTTCTCATTTTGGGAAGAGATGTGATGTCCAAGCGTCGTTTCTCCAGCCCTGCTGCATCGGGGTGGGTTACGGTTAGAGCCAGGAGGCTGGGCAGCCCCATAGATGGTTGGATGAGGCTTTGAGCAACCTGATCTAGTGGGAGGGGGCCCTGCCCATGGCAGGGGGGTGGGACTCAATGATCTTTAAGGTCATTTCCAACCCAAACCATTCTATGATTCTATGGGGGTCGCTGAGCTCTGGGAGGGCTGAGGAGCCACAGATGTTATGGGAGAGCTGCTAAAAGAAGAGGCAAATAAGGGAGGGATAGGATAGGGTTTTCTGTTCTTGAATGCCTTTGCCTCGGCGTGAATAGCCAAGTGTGCAGGAGACCACGCTCAGAAACACGCCAGTCGGCTCCACAGCCTCCCACTGCTGCTGCCTGGGCAGAGACATGTCTCTTGATTTGTGTGAGATATGTTTATTTAAAAATTCAGAGGATGGGAGACCTAAACCTTGAGATTGTGCTGCACATCACTTCCTTGCCAGGGTGGCGGTGGCTGTTAGAGTGTTAGGATACATCGTGCCACTTCAAAGTGGGGAGATTGCCATGGGGTAATGCTTACGGGAATACTCTTCTTCCTTTGCTTTCAGAAAAGACCGAAAGAAACCTCTGGCTTCCTGCAGTCTCCTGAGCAGTAAGTGCTGTGTGTTTCTCGGGATGTTTGTAATTCTGACTTCGCCTTGCCCTGTGGATCAAGGAGTCTTTGCTGCTTTACTTGGAGATGGGAATAAATAGGGAGGAGGCAAGCTGATAGGGACTCATCGGTGAAGAAAAGCCGGCTGTCGTCTCGGCACAGCATTTCCTGCGGTGAAATGAGTTGGCCACTTGGGCCCTGATCCAAGAAAGCTCTTAAGCACATGTTTGATCTAATCGTGTTTTTAGTCCCACTGATCTCTTGAGAAGCTGAAGTGAAGCATACATCCAAGTGCTTTGGTGGATCACAACCCGAGGAACACCACCAGTTTGGGATGGGCTTGTTTCTCCTCCCTCCCAGTGCAGAAGCTGGGCTGGAACCCTTCGGTGACCCTGTCCTGATACCTCCTGGCTTCCTGAAATGCCCTTTATTTGCCCATTTTTACGGGTTTCTTCCCCTTGCTCCATTATTCTGTTGAAACTCTACCAACTATAGCTGTGGAGAGGTGGAACAAAGTGGAGGAGAAATCTGACCTGGGATTTTCCAGCCTTTTAAAATGCAGTAGCCTAGAAAACACGTCAGGTATTTTGGCAAGTAGATGTCAGTGTGGAGGAGTCAGCCAGTGGTTGAGCCTCAACCAGGCTCTGCCAAGCTGAAAAAATAGCAGTAGTCCTTGAAGAGACATGTTAATTTTGGCGGACTTGCCACAGAACAGGACAGAGAAGTACCAGAACCTGCATTTTAGTGATGCATCTTCTTGTTAAGGATTTTATAGCTGCCAGGAGACTCTGAACACTTCAAACACTTGCCTTGTGTGCTGACGGGTCTTTACCTTGCACCTCTAGCTAGAGACACGGAGCCTGGCGTAACAGCAGCCCTTCAGCCATACCTCCTGCCGCTCCTCGTCTTTATCGGCTGCGTGGCTTCGCTGTTCATTGTTCCCTTGGCTTGTGCTCCCATGAAATCTCAGCGGTGATTTCCCGCGTGCCTGGGCCGGGAAGCTGCAGCCACCAGAGGGAACTCTGGCAGTGGCGGCAGAGCCGCTCCTGAGCACAATGCATTCCTCCCTTCATCCAACCCCAGTCCCCCAGCATCAGATGTGACCCGTATTTTGCTCATTCAGACTGGGACAGAATGGGAAGAACTTTCCCACGGCTGCGCTGCGCAGACAGCTCACCTATCGCTCTCGGCGACCAGAACGGGTGGGTTTGTGCTCAGAAAACATGAAAAGCGCCAGCGTTTGGCATGGATCGCTCTCTATTTCCAGCAAATTCAGTCCTGCAGTGTCAGGTTAAGGAACTTCTTTCTGCACGGAGTCCTCTGATGTACGAGCGTTGATGTGAACCTGGCAGAAATCCAGCCCTTGCGGCAGAGAGCCCCGGGTTGGCAGCAGGGCTGTGACTCCGTGCCGGGGCACAGGGATGGCACTGAATGCCCCAAAGTTTGGGGCATGGGGAGGGAAAGGTTCAGAGCCCTGGGGTTTATGCTCTGATGGGCACGAGTGGTGGCCAGCCCTGCGTCACCTGTGGATGGGCTGCATTTGAAGGTCTGTTCATGATCAAAATCTGCTTTTCTCTCCCAGGCAGCTGGACGAGGAGGGCTGGGCAGAGGTCAGGAAGCAGCTCCGGGCGTTCACGCACACCACCCAGGTAGAGATCTGGAACAGCCCCTCTGAGGAAAGCTTAGCCCTTACCCAGGTGTCGCAGATGCGCTGCCCTGGGGCCAATGCGCTGCTCCAGGATGGAGCGGGGAAGCTTTCCACGGAGCCTTGCCATGGCTTTGGCCTCAGCCCACCGAGTGACTCCCACAGGTCCCTGGCTGGTGATGTACTGAGGCTGTGCTTCCCCTGCTCCTAAAAGAACAGCCCTTACAGCTGCTCTTTGCTCCCTCCCTCGCTTTAGCACAGGCACTTCGGCATCTGTGTAACAAACCGGGTCTGTGTTCCACCTGGTTCAAGTCTCGCCTGAATCTGAACCAGTTTCCCAGTCTGGTTCCCGCTGAGAGCGAGGATATTTGTGCTGCACTGGGGAAGGGGGTGGCCCGGAGCGGGGAGGAGAGCTCTCTGCATCCGCAGCGCTGCTCTGCAGCACCCGTGGAGCTGGGGTGATGCTCGGGGGGAGCTCAGCAGGCTCAGCTGGGGGGGGTTTTGCTGTTCAACAGTGAGAAGGGTTGATGCTGGGATCCCTGCCACACTGCCTGCCCCACGCAGGGAAAAGGGCTTTGGGGACCAAGCGGAGGTTTGGCTTTCTGTGGTGGACAAGGCTGTAGATGTGCCACCAGCCCGCTGCCATGTCGTGCCTTCCTCCTTCCTGAGGAAGTGCTCCTCCCTCCTCTGGTCCCGTAAAACCAAACACCCAAATTTCGTGGCCAAAAGAAGGGAGACGCTGTGGCTGAGGGGCTGGAGCGCCGCACTGGGAGCAGGTCCTGCTCCAGGCTCTGCGGGGCATCTCGGGAGCGAGCTCGGTCCAGCCCCTCGGATCCTCCCGGTGACACAGGGACTGTGTGGTTAACGTGGGTGAGATGATGTATTGCCCATAGATACTGCAAAAACAGAATGGTTTTTATCTAAAAGGGAAGGTGACTTCCCTTTGCAACAAACTACGGGTGGACAGCCGTGAAAGCCCCCCGAGTGCCAAACCTAGCGACCACTCACCGGTTGTCTGTGAAGCCTCTGGAGGAGTCAGTGATGGCTTGGTGGAGGGGTCACTGCCTATCCTGGGGTGGCCCTGGCCCCCTCACCTGCTCAGGGAAGGCTGCCTGGTCTGCCCAGCCGATGCCCTGAGTCCACTATCGTCATCAGGCTCCTGCCCC